AATAAACTTTACTAGCAACTAAATTTGCCAATTCTTTTCCAATAAAATCTTTATCTTCACATAATTCTTCTATTTTGAAAATATAATCTGCCAATTCTGGCCAATATATATCAACAATAGAATTCAATTTTTCTAAACCAAAAATTTTTAAACTTGTTTCTTCTTCGTTTAATAGAGAAATAACACCTGAAGCAGATGTCACAATATCACTCTTAGTTAAATTATTTTCAAATGCCATATTACTGTCTTATTTTATAAAATAATATAATTGCAAAAAAAAAAAATAAAATAAATTAAACGAAAAAAAAATATATATATATATAAATATATATATATATATACATTTATTTTACTATTATTTTACTTTTTATTTAATATTATTGTATATATTTATGATCTTTTTTTTTTTTTTTTTTAAGTTTTTTTATAAATTTAAAAAAAATAATCGTTTATTTACCATATTTTTTTTATTTTAATTTTTCTTCTTTTTCTCTCTTTTTGTATATAATATTATATAAAATTATTTTATTATATTTTAATAAAAAGTGTAAAAATTTAATCTAAAAACCAAAAGAGTATTTTTATTTTTTAATTGAATTATACATACAGCTTCATGCTTTTTTTATAAAATTTTCTGTTTATTATTTTTTTCCTTTTTAATTCCTTAGTAATTTCATTTTTTGTATCTTTTTATTTTTATTATTATTCCTTTTTTATGTTATTTACATAATATGTACATTTTTTTTTTTTTTTTTTTTTTTATTGCATTTTTTTTTTTTGTTTATTTTTATATATATAATATATACATATTATTTATATATATATTTTTTCACCTTTTTATATTTTTATTATATTTTTGTTGTACATAAATTAATTTTTTTACTTTTAATAATTTTACTAGTAAATTTTTATGCGTAGATAGTGATATGCAAAAAAAATATAAAACATTATTTATAAAAAACCATTCATAAGTTATTTATTTTATTATATATTTTGATAAAATTAATACTTCGTTTCAATATATTTTTAAATTTTATATTATCATTTTTTTTTAATTTTTAAAGTAGCTTTATAATAAAGAATAGAAATAATTTTTTTAGTTAAAATAACTTAGTATTTTTTGGTTTCTTTGAACTATTCTATTTAACATTATTATGAATAAATTATATAATAAATATACATATACATTTAAATAGAAAAATAAAAATCATTTGATTAAAAAAAGTTAACATTTACATATATTACAGTATGATAATTGTAGAAACATTACAAATTTAATATTTAATATTTATATATGAAATTGTGTACAGAATTATGTTTTTTTTTTTTTTTTTTTTTTAAAACATTTGTAAACTGTATAACTTATTTTAAAAAAAATATAACTTAGGGGAAAAAATTTTTGTTTTTTTATTCTTTATATTTTATTTAAAAGTTACATATAAATTAAAAAAAAAAAAAAAATGCCTTAAACTTCTTTTTTTGAAATGCCTTAATTTATAATATTCCACCTTAATATAATTTAAGAATAAAAAAAGTAGAATCATTGAAAAAAGACAAATAAATTGAATTTTAAATATTTAAAATTCTCTATTAAATATTATTTTTTTCAACAGTTTTACTCATTATTAAAAGTTATTTTTAATTATTAAAATAGCTATACTATCCTTTTTCCTTTAATGAAGGTTATAAAGATATAAAAAAAAATAGTTTGTTCCATATTATTTTTTATCTATTTTTGTTTTATTTTAGTATTAATTTAATTTAATATACATAATACTTTTATATTTCATTGTTCATTATGAAAAAAATATATATTTTTTTATGAATTAAAAAAATTTTTTTTTAATTAAATAATATTAATAAAGTGATGTATTTATTAATACTATGCTTGAACGAAAATTTCAATTAATAGATTTTCCTTAAAAATATGAAAAATTAACGTTTTTAATTATTCTCATCTTTGTGGTAAAATATTTAAAAATATTAAAGTAAAAAAAAAATAATTAGCATATATACTTTTACATAAGTAAAAAAAAAAAAAAAAGAAAATTTTTTATTATGAAATGGATATGAACATCTAGTAATTATCTTATCAAGAATTTTTTCTTTCATATAGTATATGCAACAATCTTTATATTGATACTTACGTAATAAATATAAAATAATTTAAATTTTAATTTCTTTTTTTTTTATTTCCTTATTTACACAAATAAAATTATATAATATTACATAAAAAAAATTCCGCTTAAAATATTTCTAAATTTTTAATTTTTTTTTATTTTTCATTATTCTTAAACTTTTTATAGAAAATTGGAATTTTATTAATAAAAATTATAATAATAAAATTATTTTAATTTATATTAAAAAAAAAAAAAAAAAAAAAAAAAGGAAATAAGGAAAAAAAAACTTGAATTGTAACTTTAAATTTATGTGTATAAGGAAAGAAGATATTTTTTACTTTTATGTTTTTTTTTGTTATTTATTTTTTAACTTTATATATTATTAAACTTATATAAAATTAAGAACACATATTTATGTCTTTTTAATTTGAAATTATAATTTTCACATGTTTTTATTTTTCATTGTAAGCATTAAATTTTTTATGAATAATGAAAATATATGGACTTATTATTATTTTTTTTTTTTCCCTTAAGCCCTAAAAAATACACGTAAATCACTTTTTGTGCATTAAAAAAAAAAAAAATTTTTTATAAAAAAGTTAACTATTTTATAACAAATATGGAAATAGCTAATTTTTAATTTTAAAGAATTTATATAAAATTAAAAATTATATTAACATAAATCAAAAATTAATAAATATTTACACAAAAAAAATACAAAATAAATAAAAAAATATTACTAGTTAATTATTTTTTTATTTATACTTCACGTATATATATAAAGGATAATAAAGTTCGTGAGGTGTGTAATATATATAAAGGAAAAAAATATTATAAAAGTATAGCAAAAAAAAAAAAAAAAAAAAAAGAGAGAAGAAAATAAAGGAGTGTATTAAGGGAATATTAATATGCTTTTCAAGCTAAAAAATTCAAATAGATTATAAATAATTTTTAGTTGTAATATAATGATAGGTTTACTTAGATTTAAAACATTGAGAAATTATAATGTATTATATCATATTTATTTAATTATTTTACGACATCATAGTACAGAGTACTTGAAGTATAAATAAATTATAGTATTTTATCACTTTTTGTTTTTATTTTATTTTTATTTTTATTATTTTTCTTTTTTTTCCTATTTATTTTTCCTTGTTTACGCTTCTCAATTTGCATATTGTAAAGCGGTATGACCAAAAAAAAAAAAAAAATACTTCATATTAATATTTCTATTAAAATACATAAAAAAAAATTAAAATAAATAAAGAATAAATGATTAATAAACATAGAAATAATGCAAATTTTTTTTTTTTTTTTTCAATTATTTTTTATTACACTAAGCAGAATCACTATGAAAGTTTTTAATATTTAAATATCAATACATATACACGGTTTTTAAAAAATATTGTTATTTATTTTATAAAATAATCTTTATCTTAAATATATATATTTTATCTTTTTTTTTTCTTTTTATTTAAAATAAGATATTTAAAAAAAGTACTTTAATTGTTATGTATGTAAAATCTAAAAACAGTTTTTATGCATTGTATTGCAAGGATAATTACACATGAATTCATGTATTCATATATTGCCATTTAACGTGTCAATAATAAAAAAAAAAAATTTTAAATGAAAAAAATATAAATATCAATATATATATACGTATATATTTTTCTAGTTATATGTCAATTTTTTTTTTTTTTTGTTTTTTGTTTTTAACATTAAAATTACAGTACTTCAGTTAAATAAATATATAAATGTGTAACATGTACAGTATTACTATTTTTGACAATCTAGTTAAAAAAGAATAAAAATAAAAAATACGTATCACTTATATATATGAAGCCCGCACTCTTATTTTAAATTGTATTCTGTTCTAATTAATATAATTTTTTATATTTAGTATAGAAATTATAAATATAAAATAGATAATTACATTTTTTTTTTTTTTTTTTTTGATGATTTATCTTAATTTTAACATTTTTTTATAATTCATTATTTTTAACATACATGTTATTTATTGATATTGTTTATAAGTAATTATTATTTTCTGATATTTTAAATATTTCAGAATAATTTTCTATATATATATATATGAAAGTTTTCTTGAATAAATTACTTATGCATAATTATTTAAATTAAAAATGGTCAACAATTTTATTTTTAAAATTGTTCTTAATGGTGTTGCATCTTCATTAAAAAAAAATACATATTAATATATATTTTAATGATTATACACCCAAGAATTTCAATTTTACATTTTAAATCATAATTTTAAATAAAAAAAATACATTTATATTGCATTATAAAAAAAATATACGAAATACAAAAATATATATTGATATTTTTAAATTTAATTTTTTATGTATCCTTTACATAATTTTTTATATTTTTTTTTTTTTTGAAAGTGTAAAAGTATCATTTTTTATGTATTTTACAATACATACATAAAGAAACATATAAAAAACATTTAGTTACTGGTATTTCTTTTTTTTCAAAAATGTGTCGAAACATGAATACTATTTGTTTTTTAATAATTTAAAATTATCATTTTTTTTAATTATGAAATAAAAAAATAAAACATGTAATAAATAGAAGATTATATAAATATTACAAAAAATAAATGGAATACATAGATGTTGTTAAATAATATATATATATATATATATATTTATATACATTATATATGTATTTTTTTTTTTTTTTTTGTAATTTTATAGATTTTATGTATACTAATTTATATGCAATTATTAATCACCTTTTGTTATTTCAAAAGTAAATGTAATTCATTTTTTTTTTTTTTTATTTCTAAATAAAATATAACTCTGAAATAATGCAAATATAAAAAAAGTATATTTAAATTTATTAAGAAATGATAAAATGGAACTAAGTAAAACAAGAGATAATGTGAAAAGTTTAATAAAGACATGCGAAGAAAAAATAAAAGTAAAAATAAAAGAAAATAATAGTTCTGAATTAATTCAAAAAAAGTTAACTGAAGGAGGTTTTTTACATATTAAACCAAAAAGCATGCTAAATAATAATAGTAATTGCTATGATAATTCCATTAAAAAAACTAAAATAAAAAAAATGACAAGAAAAAATGAATATGCTAATACTAAAGAAAACAATCCTATTAAAAATTTATATGTTCATACTACTGAAAATAGTCAAGATGACAATAATGATAACAAAATTAATATACATCATAAAAGTGATTCTGATAATAACAGTAATCTTGAACTAAAGGAAAAACGAATTCACTCAACACATTATGAAAAAACTAAAAAGAATCCTAGTAATGATTCTATTAAATATAAAAATAAGAGTGAAGAAAATACATTTCTGAAAACAAAAAAAAAAAATAATATTTTTACTGTAGATGAAACAAAAAACATTTTAGATATAGAAAATAATAAAATTAATAACATCAGTTTTAAGTCGATAGATTCTAACGAAAAATTAAAAAATAATGTTACTGAAAATTATACAAATGAAAATTTTAGTAGTTGCAACAACAGTACAATTTTAAATCATACTGATAATGACAATCCAAATACAGGTTCTTTGCATAATCATTTACATATTCTTTTATCTGATAATAATAAGGTTATAATAAATAATTCCACTAAATTAAACAAGGTTACAGATGAGAAACATATATTCTCAAAACCAATACAAGAAGACACAAATTTTGATAACTCAGTTAATATTAAAAATGAAGATAGCCTTATTAATAATGATATTGATAAGAGTGATATCTATCAAAATAATAAAAATAATGAAAATAACATAGGTATTAAAAACGTCATTTGTAATAACAAAAATGAAAACGTAACTAAATTGTCATCATATATAATTGAAAATTCTTTTAAAAAAACTAACGACAGTGCATTAAGCAATGTACACAATAGTTTAAATAGTGATAGCATTAATAGAAAGGAAAATTTCAATTTTTCTGATGATCTAAAAAAATGTGAAAAGACAATTATAAATTGTAATAATATAAATTCTTCATCAGATGACTGCAAAAATTACGATGAAGACATAAAAAAAGAAATAATAGGTTCTACTTGTGATAGTGTTATACCAAAAAATAATAAAAAAAATATTATTAAAAAAGAATTATTTCATAAAATGAGTTTAAGAAATAGTAATAAAATGAAACTAAAAAATAAGGATGAAGAAGAGATGGAAGAAATATGTGAATATAAGGAAAAAAAAAAAAGGAAATTAAAAAATAATAATTCAATTAATTACTTAAATAACAGCAATATTCCTAATTCAAATGCAGAAATTATAAATTCGTTAAAATTAGATATATCTACTTTAGATAAAGAAGATAAAATACAAACAAGCACAAGTAAAGATCATACTGAAAATATAGACATGAAACATAAAAGGGAAAATATAAACGAACATTGTGATTACAATACAAAGGAGAATAACAAAATTATGTCAGTGAAACGTAAGGATGATACATTGAATAATAGTATAATAATTAATAATAATATGGATTCTTTTATTAATGAAAGTTTTAACATGAATTGTAACGAAGATTTTGATAAGAACTATAATGAAATAATAGTAGGAAATAATTCATTATTGCCAAATGAGTTTAATAAAAAAAGTAATAATGAGATAAATAATTTCATTAATGATGATAATAATAATAAATATGAAAGTAAGAATAATGAAGCAATTAAAAAAAATAATGAAAATTTATCTAGTGATTATGATACGAATATTAAAGAAGAAAATCCTGATAATTTGAGTGATAAAAAATGCATCATAAAAAAAATATTAAGTAAATGTGATTCAAAAGAAACTGAATTATTTGATTTTGAAAAATTGAGGCATTTAATAATATTTAGAGAAAACGCAGAAAAGTATATACAGAGTTATATAAATTCTTTTTTAAAAGATTTTAATATAATGTCTTCTTATTTACCTTTTGTGCATTATTACGATAAAGATATATATGAAGAAAAAGAATGTAATTTTTTTAAAATTTTATCATATTTTATAGAACACTTTAAAAATAATAAAAAAATCAAAAAGAAAATATGTTCATTTCAAAAGAACTTTTTAAAAGCTACAATAAATGAAAAAATAAAATATATTGATAAGTTTCAACTTTTAAAATTATCAGAAATTGGCACTGATATTTTTAAGAGAAGATTTTTAAAATTATTAAAAAAATGTGTAGAAAAAAAGAAAAAAAAAAAAAAAGAAATTTACTGTAAATTAAAAATATTCAATAAAATTGTGAAAAACTTTTACAAATTAAAAGATAAAATGGTTGAAAATAACTTACTACAAAAGGAATTAAATGATTTAAATGTAATCATAAATGATAAAAAAAAAAGAGAAATTTGTAATGGTGGTGTAACTGATAACACATTAATTAATAATATTACTAGCAATGATACCTTAGATGAAAATATTTTAAATGTTAATGTTTTAAATTATGAATTAACTAATTCAAATGAAGAAAAAAAGAATGTGTGTCGAAGTGAAATATCAGAGTGTAGCAAAATAGATTATTTTATTCCCTACAGTCAAAAGTATATCTTTAAATATTTAAATTTATTAATTGAAAATAAATTATTTAATTTGATTCATTTAAATAATTCCAAATATATCGAGAACATACATATTAAAGATAACGGTATAAATTTTTATAATAGGATAATCTTTAATAGTATTCCTTTTTATAAAGGAAAAATAAAAAAATTATGTTCAATTCTTATTATGTATTATCTTATGAATAAATCATTACGCCTTATACAACCAAATCTAACTTGGAATGTAAAAAGTTATTTACATAAAAAAAGGTATTTACAAAAATTATATAGTCATAGTGAGGATGAAAATTCACATAAACTTGTTGAACGGCATATTATAGAAATTGAAAAAAATTTTAGAAAAATGATTAATGGAAAAAATAAGAAAAAAAAAAGCATATTACATTCCTTTATTAATGAAAATGAAAAATTAAATTTACAGAAATACAGTGAAGATGAAATTGAAAAAGATATGGATATATTTATTAATAATTTATTAATAGGTAATAATTCTATTAAAAATAATGAATGTAATGATCAAAATAATGAAAATATTGAATGTAACAAGTTTTGCATATTGGAAAATTCTAAGGAGTACGTAAAATATGATCACAATATGGAATCTCAAAAAAAAGAAATAATACTAGAAAAAAAAGAAGAATTGAAAGATAAAGGAGAAGAAAAAAACCAAAAATTATGTGAAAATGAAAAAGAGAAAGAACAAAAAGTAATAGAATTAGAAAAAGAGAAAAAAAATAAACACACAGAAAAGGAATTAGAACAAAAAATAGAACAAAACCATGAGGAACAATTACAACTACGGAGAGAACAAGATGAAAAAGAAGAAGAAAAAAAAGAAAAATATAAAGGAAGAGAAAGAAAAAAAAGGAAAAATAATAAATTTAAATTATCAAATGATTTACAAGATATATATGATGCATATAATAATGGAGAGCAAATAATTATAGCTAAAAACAAAAATAAATTATTGAATAATTTAGAAAAATATAATAATTTTAACTATTTATCCAAACAAACACTATTTGATACTTATAACAGTATGCAAAATAATAATAAACAAAATGTTCATAACTTAAACGTAAATGATATTAATGAACATTTAAGAAATATTAACTCATTACAAAATAACTATTTCTGTAAAAATATGAATACTACAAATTTCGTAAATAGAAATAACAGCATTGATGGTATAAATTCCAGTTCTCTATATAAATATATGTACAGTAAAAGTAATTCTTATTTTAATAATGATTTACTACAGAAATATAGATTTGATCAGAAAAATGGAGAAAATGAATATTATGAAAGTAGTATAAATTCAAAAAATAATGATTATAATAAATATATAAATAAGTTAAATAATCTAAGTATTAATGAAAAAAACACTTTTATATCAAATATTTCTAGTAATAGTTTTATAAAAAATGATAACTTAAAAGATATGTACCCAGATTATCATGTTGATAATGGATATATGAATCAAAATTTATTAAATGAAAGAATAAAATTTTTAAATGATATAGGTTTTAAAAAAGAAAAGTATTCTAAAGATAATTTAAGAAACATTCCTTATTATACTGAAAATAATAATAATAATAATAATAATTTTTTCTTGGCTCATTTGAGAAATAATATTAGAAATAATATGCCATTAAACAGTTTTATGAATTGTTTTGATAATAGTACATATAACTTATATAACTCAATGAATAATCCATTTTTATTTGAAAAAATTCAAAAAGAAAATAGTATGAGTAATCATAATATATCTACAAATTTTACAGCGAGTAATAATTCCTTAGACAGTATAAATTTGCAGGCACATATCATTGATAAAAATGATTTGAACAAAATTAATAACTTTTTAAGTTGTGATAAAAATATAGAACATTTAAATAATGCATCGAATGGAATGTATATGCATTTAAATAGACAAATTAATGATGCTTATATAAATAATATCCCAAACAATAATAATAATGATTTTAATAAAATAAAAAATGAAAATATAAATAATAATATGATAAATAAAGATATAGTAATAGATAATATAGGCTTATTTAATGAAAGTAAAAATATCAACACAGTTGATAATAAAATAAGTACTACAGATCAAAATAAAAAGCATGTATCATTAAATAATAGAATTAATAATAAAAAAAATAATAATATAAATGATAATAATATTGATGTTAATAATGGTAACGACGATGATCTTAGTGATAAAAGTAACAATAGTAATGATAATAGTAATAATAATAATAATAATAATTGTAATAATGATAATTATAATAGTGACTATAATAGTAATTTTAATAGTTATGAAAATAATGTAACTATGAATGAAAAAAATAGTGTAAACAAAGAAACAATATATAATAGAAATAAAAATATTTTAAATAATTGCATTATTGAAAATGAGTTAAAAACTAACTTGAACGAAAATATTACAAAAAATAATATAAATAAAGACATGAATGATGCTGAAGGAACAAACCAATGTTTAAATAACAATCACGAAGTTATAAATAATTCCAATAATAACAACAAAAATATAAATATACATATAGACACAAATATAAATGGATATTTTGATATTAACAAAAAAAATGAAAACATTAATTATATAAATAATATAAATATAAATGAAAATAACAAGAATAATTATAACCTGCATGAAAATAATTTATATAATTATCCTATTAAAAATTTTGATAACAGTTTGGGAAGCAATAAATTTTTAGAAGATAATATAATAAGAAAAGAACTTACAAATGAAAATAAAATGATATGTGACATGGACAATTTTGATAATAATAAAAATTCACAAAATGTAAATATCTCAAACATAAATGGTGTATCAAGTATGAATTTATTAAATAATGGTAATATAAATGAACTTGATAAAAATACTGATAATATAAAAACAAATACTAAAAATTCCTATAATAATATAGGTATAAATGTAAATAATAATGATACATTAAAAAATTTTAATTGCACTATTCCTTTTTTTTATATGAATAACTTAAACAATGTTATGGAATATACAAATAACAATCACATTAATAATAACATCTCCGTATTACCTCCATATGTAAATAGAAATCAAATTAATAATATGTTTTATTTAAATAATATGGACAATTTCAACAAATATAATATATATACTATGAATAATATGATGAAATCTCCCAATATATACCATGAAAATTTTAAATTAAATGATAAAAATTATAATGTGATAAATAATTACAACTCTTTTAATATAAATGGATTAATGCCATATAACAATACTAATAATGATTTAAGAAGATATATAAATTTAGGAAAAAAGAATAACATAAATGTATATAATTATAATATAAATGAAAAAGATAATACCGAACTAGCAAGCGAATTAGTTAATATGCATCCTAATAACATAATAGATCAATTTAATTATTTAAATAATTGCACAAATAATAATTATATAAATGGATGTAATTTCATAAATTTTGATCAAATTAGAAATGATATTAACATGAATGTCAATATGAATATAAATGATTATAACAAAACTTTCAATGAAATAGATCCTGATTCCAATATGTCATTAAAAAATTATAAAAAAAAAGATAAGGTAAAAAAGGAAAAGAAAAATAATACAAATAAAGTATCATGTTCTATAAGTACAAATAAGAAAAAAAGATTCGGAAACACTGGTCCACCAAGTGCTGAAAAGTTAAATGAGTTGCTTCATGAACAAAATTTATCAGTACCACAAATAGCTGCTATATATGGAGTTCATAGAACAACAGTAGCAAGATGGTGTCATAATAGAAAAATTATTCAAAAATCAACCAGTTACCATGGGAGAAGAAGAACGGCCACCAAAAATAATAATTATATTTAAAATAAATTTATGCATATCACAGCAGAAAAAAATAATTTCATTATATATTTATTTATATGTCATATTATTATTATATAAATTATAATATATATATCTATATATTTCAATATATGTTTTATAAAGTACATTGCCATAATATAAATATAAAAAAAAAAAAAAAAAAAAATAATAAAAAATAAAATATTAATAATATATTTATATCTTTTATATTAATATATAAACTTATATGAGCTCAATAAATAAAAAATAAAATTATCATTTCAATATATATTTTTATATTGCATATAAGTATAAATTTAAAATAAAATATAGAAGTACTTACACTTTTGAATATTAATAATTAATAATTAATAATTTTTTATTTAATTATTTTTCTTTTTTATACAAATTTTTAATAGTACTTCTACTATTTAAAAGAATTATTTATTGCAGGAAACTTTAAATAAAATTATAAAAAGAAATCAAACAACTAATTTATCAAGTATTCACAATGAAGAAATATCTTAATATTTTATATAAGAATGAAAATATTAAATTATAGGAACTTGTCTATGTATTTAAATGAGTATGTGAATTATGTTATAATAATTTTTATGGAGATATACTTTATATGCAAAAATAAAGGATATATATGATTAATAAATTATAAATATTATAAAAATTCATTTGAGTTCAAAAAAAAAAGATTAAATATTATAATTTTTTCTCATTTATATAATAAAATATAAGAACATACATATTTCATATATTCATATTTTACTATAAAAAAAAAATATTTTAAAATCAATTTTTTACTTTATATAGAAGGAAAAAAAAAATGTTTTTTTTTTTTTTTTTTTTTTTGGATTCTACATTCCAATTTTTTTTATTTCAAAATATTTTATTTGCATATAACTTAAGAATTTTTTACATTATATTTTTTAAAAATTGTTTTTAAGTTTTATTACATTTTTTTTAAGTGATAAAACAAAAAAAAAAAAAAAAAAAAAAAAAAAAGCGGATTTAACAAGATATGTAGATAATAAAAAATTTACAAAAATATATGTCTTATAACAAAAAAAAAAAGAAAATTATACATTTTGATGTTGGATCACATTTTTTTTAAAAAAAAAAATTATATCCTAAAGTATTCATTTTCATAATGATATTTAAATACCATAAAAAAATCTTATCTATTTTATATTACCAGAATATTACTGTCTAAAATGAAAATATTTATTATTATAAAAACATGATTTATTAATATTTCCCTTATTTTTTATGTAACTATATATTAGGAATAACTTTTTAACTATTTAAAAAAAAAAAAAAAAATTCTTAAGTAAATCCCTCTCATCTTCAATCAAATTTTTAATTATATATATATATATATATATATATATATATATATATATATATATGAGAAAGTATTATTGATAAATAAAAAAAATTTATGGAGCACCATAATTTAATTCTCTCATTTTTGGTTGATTTCTTGGTGGTGTTGGTGGCCTTAATTCAGTCATTTTTGTATCCCTTTAAAAAAAAATAAAAAAAGTGTATATTTATTTATTTTTTTTTTTATGTTATTAAAATGAAAATTATATGGTATATATACTTTAATTATAAAAATATATGTTTAATTATTAGACAATTTAATAATATTAACATATTATATAAAACTTATCAAAAGTTATACAATAATATTAAAATATATTTTTTACTCATAAAAATATATATGTATTTTTTTTATTTTAATAAATCTTACCATGTATTAAAAAATCTAATTTCATCCTTAGCAGGATAAATAAGCTTTGGTATAACTGTAAGATCTCTTCTAATAAATAATAATGCCCCTGCATTTTTATGTGAATTACAATAATTAGTTGCTGAAAATAATGTTATTAATTTTCCTCCTGCAAATCTTTCAAATCCGTCCATTACACATTCATGTGCTCTTATAATTAATTGAAGATCATTGTCCTCTAAAAATTTATGAACACGATCTGGACCAAATTTAACAATATGACCTGTACCATCAGGATCTCTTATATCGTTAGGAATAGTTCCTAATATAGAATCATTATCGGTTGGATCTGACCATAATAGATCAGTAACTTTTTGCTCATATATGTTTTGTGGTACTTGTGAAACAACTAAAGGTCTTCTTAATTGAGATATATCTGAAATTTGATGTATTGATTTTCCAATACCACCATGAACACATAATATTTTTTCTTCTACTATAGCACCAATAGGTAGCCACTCAAAAACTTGATTTATCTGAGCCCAGCAAGATGCTTTATCTGTTACATCTTCTTTTAGTCTTCTTTTGCACTCTTCTTGAAAACCATATAAGCTGTTAATTGCCATATCTTCATGATTCCCTCGTATTAAATGAATTTGTTTTGGATATTTACACTTTAAAGCGAAAAGTAGGCATATCACTTCTAAACTATTGGAACCTCTGTCTACATAATCTCCCAAAAATAAATAATCATTCGAATCAATATCTCCTATTGCATTTAACTTTTCCCCTAAATCTTCCTCTACAGGACATTTATATAATTGAAATAATCTCATTAAATCATAATATTGTCCATGTATATCACCATAAATTTTGATTGGTGCCCTTAATTTTAACACCATATCTTCTTGTTTAAAGATGTCTATAACAATAGAGCATAAAATAGAAATATTAGCCCATGGAATTATAAAAATAGCATCAGAATTGTGATTATACTGTATTTCAAATTGAGTAATATTAGGATTTAATAATGTCGTAATAATTTTGTCATAAACAGTATTTTTGAACTCACTAATATAATTCACTGGAGTGCATAAAACTCCGTTATTAATTTTTCTCCCTTCTTCTTCTAATTTATCAATAGAAATTTTTCTGACTAGTAATGCAAAATCACTGCCTGTCTCTTGAACTGCATGTGCATGCGCCGCTAATCTAATTTTATTGGACATAGGCCTATTGGATAATCTAAATAAAGAAGAAGATGCGGGAGAATCAAACATATTTCTGTAAGGTGCGTTTTGCATATTTGATAAAGAATTGACTATATTAGGGTTATTTTTTATGTCATATATTTGTTTTGATGTTGTATACTGATTATTCGATAAATTATGTTGATGAGTATTAATAATATCCTGACCATTTAAATTATAAGAATTCATATTTCGAAGGTCATTGCCTTGAAGTTTTATATTTTCATTCGTTAACTGTTTCTGTTTTAAAGATGACTGTTTAGTGCATTTTTTTTTTTCAGCATCTAAACTATTTAAAGAGGTTAAAAGGTTGTAGCATTCCAGGCACTCTAATTCATTCGTTGGATATTGTTGAGTTTGATGACTAAACCCACCGAAGGTGTAAATTGTAAATTTGAATACCCAAGATGTATGTCTAAATTTAGAAATAGGAGGTAAGGTAACCCATTCAATAGTTTCTGTGTTATAAAGAGCAGTTGACAATGGAGTAGCACATCCATTGTCATTTCTACCACCCAAAATAAACATTTTAGATCCAATAAAAACAGAAGAATGTTGATATCGTGCTTCAGGAGGAGAACCTTTTTTAATAGGTGCTTCAACCCAATCCCACCTTCCATCTCTATGTTGTCGTAATCCCCATGTGTCATCTAATGATTTATTTTCTGAATTTCTCCCACCAAATATGACAATCATACCTGTAGCTGGTCCTTCTTTACACATATCAGCTGAATGATAAACTCTTTGTGGTGGAACCCTGCAATTATTTGGTATTACAACTTTAACCCATTCAAAAGGGGGCATTTCTACATGCATGAACCAAACATCATTTAAAGTGTGTTGCCCATCATTACCTCCAAAAACTACTAAATTTGGTTTACTGTAGACCATTACGTGTCCATATCTTCTACCTGGCGTTACACCTTTTGTTGGTACAATCATCCAAGAATATCTTGGTTCTCTTCTCAAATCTAATATATATAAGTCATCTAAGGATAAAGAACCACCACCAGTTGCTCCTCCATAAATAACTAACTGTTGCTCATCTACACAAGCAGCAGCATGTGCAGCTCTAGCTGTTGGTGTATTTTCTGTTAATAATTTTTTCCATTTATTTTGCGTTAGATCATATATATATATATCATCTGTTATATTATATTTTCCTGCATCTCCTACAGCTCCACCAAATATTGCAACTTTATTATTCCCTAAATATGTAGCTGTATGGCCAAAACGTGGAGCTGGAATATCTCCTTTTTGCTTTTCTTTTCTGCAAACATTAGTTTCTTTAAATATTCCATTATTCATTGGTCAGACAAAATATGAAGAATAAATTAAAAAAAAAAATAATTCAAATAAATTACACAATTGTATATACTAATATGTACATGCTCATAAAATTTTGACATAAGAAATAAAATATAAATAAATAAATAAATCAAGAGAACATTTTATAAAAAATATTCAAACATATATAAACGTATATATGAATACATTAAATGAATTTCATTTTGTAATTCTACCCCTTTTTTATAATATTTATTTTTTTTTTTTTTTTTTTCATATTTCATGAAAATGTCCTACTCATATGTTTCAATAATGTAACAACATTTCAAATAAAAAGTTAATTTAGTGAAATGAAAAAATATAATTTTTAAGTTGTTGATATTAAATAATTTAAAAAAAAAAAATACATATGCATATTGATAAATATGTAAATATAAAAATAAAAACTAATTTTTAATATATAAACTATTTTTGTTTCTTCAAATTAAAAATTATTTTTTTATGGTACACATTGAAAATATTTTTTCTTTATTATATCTTTTTAATAATACTTATTTTATATAAAAGTTTTTTTTTTTTTTTTTTTTTTTTTTAAAAAATATAAAA